CATAACAATTCTATGATTCTATATGTGGTGGAATCAGCTGTGTGATGTGTGGTTTAGGTCAAAGCCTTTTGTCTGTCATGGCTACAGATGAATTTGCAGGGCGCTCACTATGCATGCGGCTTGTCTGAGGCCAAGCTGCTGTTCAGAGTACCGTGTTTTTTCTTGCACTGCTGAAAGAATCTGTGTAGGGACCAGGTCTTGCTGGCCACACAGCACCAGTAGGGAGGGCATTATTTTCTTTAAAAACCTGATGGCATCAGCTGGAGATCCGAGAAACCAGACTGGATGGACGGGTAGGAGGATGTGAGGTAATAAGTGCTTTCTGGTAGAAAGCAGCAAACACTGGTCAGCTGAAAACCTTCTCTGACATGATTACTAAAGCATCCCTGTCGCCCAAGAACAACCTCTTTGTACTCAGAGCAGCCGGGGCTTGGCTGCACACGGGGAAAGCAGACAAGTAAGTGGGAGAGCTGAGCAATGCTCCAGTGCACAACCCCGACTGCTGGAACACCTCCCAGGCACTGACCGGGAGCCCTCGGGGTTTGCTGGCACCCAGGGCTTTGCTAGCTGCCAAAAATGCGTTTCGGGTCCTCCCATACATGTAATCACTAAAAAACAGAGCCCTTCACCCCAGCTGCCCAGCGGAGGGACGACTGCATGGTCCTCTGTGCTTTCGGCCCCAAGCAGCACCTCTTCCCAGCAGACAGCTTGCTGACAGCCCTGAGCACCAACACTTGTGTCCCTCCCTTTGCCCCGAGGTTTTGCTACAGGCCACTTTGGTACAACCTGCAATGCACGGCATGGAGATCCCCACCCAGCTGCCGGCTGCTGATCCTACGGCAGAGGGGGTGCAATCGCTCCCCTCTGTCTCTCATCACTGCTGCAGCTCTTGATTCACTGCTTGAGTAAACCTCACTGGAGAGATGAGCTCATAGTGATTTAGCTTTGGGCTCAGTGACACGTAGAGAAGGGACTAGTGGCCAATGACGACAAATAAAAGAGCAAGAGATGGAATCGGTGGCAGCCACAGATCGGTGATGCTCCTGTGGCAGGCCGGGGGCGGATGGGGGCCTGGCTCGCCCCC